AAAGAAGATGTGGCACATATATACAATGGAATATTACTCAGCCATAAAAAGAAACAAAATTGAACTATTTGTAATGAGGTGGATAGACCTAGAGTCTGTCACACAGAGTGAAGTAAGTCAGAAAGTGAAAGACAAATACTGTATGTTAACACATGTATATGGAATTTAAGAAAAAAAAATGTCATGGATAACCTAGGGGTAAGACAAGGATAAAGACACAGACCTACTAGAGAATGGACTTGAGGATATGGGGAGGGGGAAGGGTAAGCTGTGACAAAGCGAGAGAGAGTCATGGACATATATACACTACCAAACGTAAGGTAGATAGCTAGTGGGAAGCAGCCGCACAGCACAGGGAGATCAGCTCGGTGCTTTGTCATCTCCTGGAGGGGTGGGATAGGGAGGGTAGGAGGGAGGGAGACACAAGAGGGAAGAGATATGGGAACATATGTATATGTATAACTGTTTCACTTTGTTATAAAGCAGAAACTAACACACCATTGTAAAGCAATTATACTCCAATAAAGATGTAAAAAAAAAATAATAATAATTCCTCAGGTAGCTTGTCTGAACTCTGAAAGGATAGTATAGCTCTCAAAATCTCAGCAGAGGGGAAAAAAATTACCTCACAGCTGCAATTATTATGCCTTTATAAAAATACTTTCTGAAAAAAAAAATACTTTCTGAAAAAAAAAGTGTAGTGAGAATACTCATTGATGTTTAAAGCCAGTTACTATTGAGAACTTACAAGATCTTTTTCATGGAGCACATTCACTTCATAAATTGATATTGAAACCTAAAAAATAAGTCTTCAAGATATAAATATTTCTCACATGAATATATGCAAATTAGAAAGTTTGTCAAAATTGCTAATATTAAACATACTCCAACTACTGACTTACTTTAAACAAGAATCTTATAAATTCCTCAAATGCATTAAATGGAAAGAATGACACAACAATGAGAAGATATTCCTCCGTGGGTTCCTCATAACTTCTTGGAAATTAGCAAAATGTAAGCTTCATTTATCCAAATTTTTCCACATCTATATGCTCACGAAGGACACTATTCTGTGAGGCATTTACCCTGCCCACAAAGAGACCTCTTGTATCATGGGGTTTGGCCACAGCTTCAGAAATAATAAAAATATGCAAATGGAAAATTAAACTTGCAGTTTTGTTTTGTGAAAGTTTGGAGTGAGAAGTCTCTAGTGAGCAGAAAGAAATGTTTAGCAATTTTTAATATCCAAAATGATCAGTCATTCACTATACACGTCTCCGGTGAACTACATAATGTCAATGGTGTCACAAAAGCAAGGCAGAAAATGAAAGTCCTAACAGCTTTAATTCAGGGGGAAAAAAATCCCTGGAAGATGTTTTTCTCCCTCTAGATCACTTCAGGTTTACACAACATGCATTTTATAATTCTTAATTTATGTTTGGCAAGAATGTTCTCTCTGGCTTTAAGACCTTACCCATTTCTCCATCTGATATTTTGTGGTTGCAATTTTCTAGTTTAAAATGGGTGGTTCTCATTTCATTCACAAGAAACATGATGCCTTGAAAAAGATGTGGTCAACCTCTAGAGATGCTCATTATTATTGCAGAATTGTAACAATACCTACTTATATGAGGGAACAGAAGCAGCGCTAAGCATTATATATATATCACTCCAGTTAATTCTTACAGCCCTCAAATGGCCATACTTAGGCTTGGAGACAATAAGAAACTTGCCCAGGGTCACAAATAACTAAATTTCTGAAGATCTGGCACATTCTGACAATTCTAAAGAACACAGAAATAACTGCTTATTTATTCATTTATTCAGTTATTCAACAAGCATTTGCTACTAAGTACCAAACATAATTAGATGTGGGAAAACAAACTGGAATAAGTTTGGATTCTTGCCCTCAAGGAAATTACCTTCTAGCTTGGAAGAGAGACCATTAAATAAACACAGTGTTACCCATAGATACTCACAGCCCTAAGTAGTGGAACTGACATAAGAGCCCTGAAGTATATGAAATTGAAACCATCTTCCTCTAATTAATAAATATTTACAAGAGTAACAGAATAGAAAACATTTGGCAAGCTCATCCAAAAAATACTTATTTTGATTTGTGGTGCTTACATAAAATAATAAAAGTGAACTCAGTCATAACATTTTGAAAGCTGTATCATTTTTATTTTCTTAAAAATTTCATGGAATTGAGCTTTTATTGAGCACCTACAGATTGGTGTAAGTGCACCCAAATTGTACCTATGCTAAGTTAAGGGACACAATTTGCAGCAATGATGGAAAACTCAATGCTGAATACTAGTTATGCCAAACGATTGCTAGTGTTTCAAGGATCGAAACTAAGTCTGATAAAATTTATATTTGTTAGCTGAAATAAGCATGCTCAGTATTCCAGTTGAATGACTGGCATCCACCTTTCACATACGGAAAAGCCAGCATTAGACATTAAATGTTCAAAAAAAATACTATTAGGAATGCAAACCTCAGAGCTTCTTCCAAAGAAACATAGCATTTGAGCCTGCTAAGTTTCCGTAAACGGGCTTAGGGAGTAAAAAGGAGGCCTTCTCTCTAGGTAAATACTGTAGAGAATATAACTTATTTAGAAAACAGACAACAGACCAAGCCAGCTTCTTTCACATCAGTGCAGTGACTGAATGTCAAACCAGGTACTAAGGTCACGGTGTCACATGTGAAGTGAGGATTTTGCCATCCATGCTAAGGCTTTGAGGTCTATCCCACATAGGTAAACAGCCTACTTTTAGTCTCTCATCATTAATGTCATTAAGCTTAACACTATCTTAAATTCTGTGTTAATGAAAATTTGTTAGAAATATTAGTATTTTAAGATGCTGTGTTGGCTTATGACAGGGTTCACGGCAGTCTGCCCAAAATATGCCACTTGGGCATATTGATTATTTTGAATTAAAGTTACTTAAGAAACAGTCAGTATAAGATGGACACTCTGACTCCTCATTGTCCCCCTGAAAGCAGGAAATAAATCTCTCATGTGAAAGGTATCCTGCCTGCACCAGAAGAAAGAAAGAAATCCTTACTACCAGAGATAGGGACTTCAAAGACAAGAAGGCCGTGTAAGCAAACCTTGTTACTTCTTTACTAAAATACTACCCCAAGCCCAAACCCCTTCATCTTGTCGGTTCTTCACAAATGCATTGTTTCTTGGTCTAAAAGGTATAAAAGCTGCCTGCTTTAGTCACTTATTTGAGCATCACATTTTTATGAGCATCATATTTTTATGAGCTCTGGTACAAATTTAAATTTGTTTTTCTCCTGTTAATCTGTCTTATGTCAATTTAATTATTAGACCAGCCAGAGAGCCTAGAGGGGAAGAAAGGAAAAGTCTTCCTCCCCTACATGTACGCTCATTCAATACAGTGCTTTTTAGCTTCTATGTGCAGTTCTGCTTTTCCTATGAGATTGTCAGTTTCTGGAGAGCAAAACCTGGTTAGCACAGTGATTACTATGGAGTTGGTGCTCAAAACACATCTTGAATAGAACTGAATTGTAATCCTAATTTCAAAGTATTTTGTACCTCTGACAGTTTACTTAAAAGGCAGACAAAACACCAATTTCACATCCACCATCTCTATTGGTATGTCCAAGGCTATGAAATTTTGCCTGTCATATTTCCCAAGATTCAATAAATCAGTTTCAAAGACATTTTAACACACTTGAGAAAAGGAACTTCTGAGTGAAAGGCCATTGCTTTCATGTTAACATTATTATTTTTCAAGACGTCATAGTCACAAAAGACTTTATATGGCTTGTCACGACTGAAGCTGAAAAATGTTATGATTGCCATTTATATTTTATTAAATAAATAGCATTACATAAATACTGTTTATATTAGCAACACAAAACTGAATTTTTAAATTACTTATAAAATTGAGGTCTTTTTCTATTTTCTTACTTTTCTAAAATGGTTTAACACTTTTAACATTTTTCTAGAATATATCAGCCACTGACTCGTACTTCAAGCTCACCCAAGGTAAAAAATTCAAATCTTCATCATTCAGCTATTATGAGAATAAATAGTTAATACCTATAACACCCTCAAGTTATTTACAGAAAGCATTTTTATACTGGTACTATTAGTTTTTGTTTTTTTTTTTTTTGTTTTTTTGCAGTATGCGGGCCTCTCACTGTTGTGGCCCCTCCCGTCGCAGAGCACAGGCTCCGGACACGCAGGCCCAGCGGCCATGGCTCACAGGCCCAGCCGCTCCACGGCATGTGGGATCCCCCCGGACCGGGGCACGAACCCGCATCCCCTGCATCGGCAGATGGACTCCCAACCACTGCGCCACCAGGGAAGCCCTATTAGTTTTATATGCTATTTTTAATACATTAAGAAACAATATTCAGGAAAATTTACCTCACTTCTGCTATAATAATATTTTAATTAGGAACCCTGTATCTTGAAAGACAATTTAGGGCATCTCAAAAAACGTCCTGAAATTCTGGATAATAAAAGAATCTATTAAATATGTTCTAAAAGCAATACAACTTTAGTTTACCAAAATTAACACATTCAATATAATATCATATATTGATTTAGTGTTTTCTAACAAAATATGAATAAAATGTAAAATACCTAAGGATAAAACTTATCCAGGCTAAATTCAGCTTACAATATTCTAAATAAAGAACCTGAATGATACTGATTACAAATGTAGACAATTCTTTCTATACATATTTATCATTAGTACTAGATAAATTGGTAAATAGTCAATGTTGAATCCCAGTAAAACAAAAACCATATCCCTAATTGTCTAAGTTCAATAATAATCGTTTGAAATATGGTTTGTACCTGTGGATGCAACAGGCAAGAGTACATTAAATGTATGTGAGTGAACAGAGTGGAACTCACACAGACTCACTGCACTGTCTTGGGAACTGGGTCATTTATAAGTGTTAAAGATTTTTCTCACTTTAGTTCAGGGTGTTAATCAACATATTCTACTTACAGGAGGGTCTGCATCTTCAGCATAAACGGTTGTGATAGGTGTACCCTTGACGGCATCTGGAGCCACTATCCCTTTGTAGATCCGTTTACTAAATACTGGAGGATAATCATTCATATCCTGTAAAACACAATTAAGAATTTAGTGCTTCTGTTGAAACCAGGTGAGGTACACAGTGACTAGACCGCTCCATCTCTTCATATCACACAACCCGTTTGCCACTGTCAGCCTTACGTCCTCTCAATTCCATTACACTCACTTCAGAATGGCACCCCAGAGGAAATTGCCAGAGTTCCTATACAATATTAATGTGTGTGATACCTACCCCATTCTACCAAAGGCCATTCTACTCAAGTAAAGAGTCTGTCACACACCCTGTGCTCCTTCCAAATACATCTTTCAGATATTTGGAGTGAGGTGTGAAATTTTCTCTAAAGGTACTTCTAATGGTATGATGTAGTTCTGAACTTTGAAAAGTAGGAAAACATTCATAAAAGGTGCCCTTCTATGAGACAGGTGTAGAAGACAGTATTTTTGTTTGTTTTGTTGTTGTTGCTTTTAAAGAAAGCTCTTTAGTGTTTCTGTTACAATTGCAAATTCTTTATATATATACTTAGCATAATAGTATGATTAGAACATTTCTAATGCAAATTGTGAAATATCCTTTTATGCCATTCTTATATTTTTACAAACATAAAATGATTAAAGGATGTTTTCCCTGTACCACACTACAATAATGACACATAGGATTAGATGTTCTCAGTCAGAAAACAATTTTAATTTATTTAAAGATTTTTCAAAGTGATTTATATGCATCCTTTAAATTTTCACAATTCAATGATATAAATGCATTGCTATTATGTTTATTCATTAAATGATATTTATCAGGTTCCTCCCATTTTTATGACCCAATGCTAGGCTCTGGGGACACTGTGGTGGCTCAAGAAAAGATGTTCCTGAATTTGTCACTTAACTGCCATTTGACAGGTAAAGTTACTGATTCTGCAGATAGCTTAGCAACGTCGCCTAAATTAATATACTTATTTGGCAAAACCACCAATCAGTCTGGTCTCCTGAGAGCAAGACCATGTTTTTCTCAAACATTTTATCTTTGATGGAGAATTTCAAATCATTTTTTTCCTCAAAAGTAATGTTTATTAACCTGGCTGATTTACCTTTCTTAAATTTACTTTTTAAAAAAATAATCATTGCACCCTGCATTTCTGGGGGCACTTTTGGTCAAATATATTTGAGCCCCAAACTAAATTTGTTAGTTATCTTATTGTCCCTGTCATCTTTTTCTCACTTGATGTTAAAAACAAAAGAAGAAAATTATTCTACACAGTCTTTGATATTTGCTCTGATACAACAATTTTTTTGCACAATGTAAATTGGAAACACACAAATTAACTGATTATAAGCACCTCTTTTTGCAAAGAGGTCAGGATAATTAACTATTACAATCAAATCGAGCTTGCTTTTATGTTCACAATAGAGCTGACTTCTGAGTTGTGAATCTGAAAAACCCTGTAGATTCTAGTAAAAATTGGAGATCTTGAGCTGTAAGCAAAACTGAAAAATAAAAACATTTTCTCTGTTTTGACATGTAGTATTCACAGCCTCTACATGAAAAAGACTTCCTTTATAAATGATGAGCTTTAGAATCTGAACAAGTAAATAAACCTAGGAAGCACTGGTTCTCTATAATGAGGAGAGTGGAGGGTATTGATCTTGAGGTTCCAGGCAGGGGGTGAATATATAAAACATTTGCATGCACACTTCCTCCTGCTTTCAAGAGTGCCAATTACTTTAACAGGTGAGTCTTGTAACCAAAGGGGTAGAACTCCTCTTGCACTCCTAAATTGTAACTTCTGAAGGTTAGAAAAGGAGCCCAACTGTGATTTTTCTCTACATGAGTTTCGCAAATCACATAAACTCAATATATTCCTATGAATTTTCTTCTCCCACGCCCCCAGGGGACATTAAAAATCTTAATGTAATCTTAATTCTTCAGGGAAAAAAATAATATGTGATTTCCTAGTTATGTCAATACAGCCGCTGACAGTGTTGAGTACAGTAGCCTTTTTATTTTTGGGCCGGGAAAGTAGTCACTGATCACCTTCTAACTGAACACACAGTGGACATTTTTATAATCTGGCTTCACAAACTGATTATACAGAAACCTAAATAACTGAACACCATTAAAAGACTGGTATCCCCCGTTGGTCTGCTTGCCACTGACAACATAAAGAATAAATCAATACAGTTATTGTAGCTGTGTTTCTTCTTCTGGTACATTGTACATATTTTGAGGTTACAATCTTTCACTGTGGCTAAGCTGTGTAGCCAGTTGCACACGGTTCTTGCATGATGCATTATTTCAGATTAGAGAATTTACTGAAATGCAATGCCAAAGAGCATAATCAATACTTCATTATATTTATGCTCCAGGGATGTCTGAAGAAAAATGTACATAAATCTGCTTCTGTACAAATGCTCTACTATGCAGCAAATTAAGGATAAACTCCACTCTCCAAACACAAGCCCTAGTCTGTTGCCAATTGTTCCACTAGAGGGCAGTATTGACAGAAAATTTCATTTTCTATTCTCTTGTTAACAATTTTTATCATTAAGTTTCCTTTCTGTGGCTATACTTTTTGTTGGTCTGAACAAAAATTACTTTTCATATTTCTAAATAGTATTCTGAATATTATCATGGTTCTCAACTGGAACTAAGGCTTGATCTTCTTAGAAAAAAAGATTGTTGTACAAGTAAGCATAATTAGTTTCCACATATCAAGCAACAAAAACTGCACCTGAAGATAGTTATCTAAGAGGAAGAAAATACGAGTTTCATTTATTTATTTTCTAAACTCAAGTCTAAAATAATCACAGAAACCATTTCTGCTTTGACAGACCACAGAGTAGATTTAAGGAACCCTTTTTAATGAGCATACCAGGAAGATAGGAACTTGCTGGTGAATTTACAAATTAATGGCACGTTCTCTATTGAAAGCGATGAGAAATAAATGACAGAATTTTAAATTTCTGGAATCATAGGTTGAAAGCTGTTCTGGGTAAGAGGCTTTTTTCCTGACAGAAGAGTACTAACTGGTTATATTCGATCATCTTTCTTTAAATGATGAAAATATAGAGAATGTCAGCCCTCATCTTAAGCTCTCGTGCATGCTCTATGAGGAGACCAGAGGGTGTGCGCCAGTGGGTGGAATGGCTCCTACAGTACCCTCTAGCGTTATCACTAGCCACATAGAACCGTTGGCTGCCCTGCCCTCTGAAATCCCTTAAGGCTTATGGAGCTGATGCCTTCTCTTCCTTGGCAGACGACACAGTTGATTTTTTCCTCTGCCTGTTACCAGTTCTGTTCTGCACTACCAGACACCCTCTATTTGCTGTTTCAGTTGTTCTTTTTTATATTATCTACCTTCTGCTGTTTCTTCTGTCTTGGTTTCTTTACTTGCCTTTCTGTCTTTTCTGACTTCTCTACCTTCTCTTGTGATTCTGCCACATAGGGTCATAAAGGCCCTATCTCCAACCAACCAAACAAATCTTTCCTTTTATGTTTTGCATGGGGCTCTCTTAAACACAAGTCACAAACTTACCTCAGTGTTCTTTTTTTTTTTTTGGATCAAAACCTGTACTGGGAAGATTCTTTCTTAGCTGCCTAAATTTGTTTTTTGTTTTGGTTTGGTTTTATTTCTGAGTTTGAAGCTTTTCTGGATTCTTGGGGGATAGTATTATCCCTAATGTAAGGTAATCAATGTTACACTTTGCCACAAGTAGCAAAATGTACACTATAGCTCTCAGTATCACAAATATTGATGGAGCTCCCACTGTGCATTAGGTAGTACTTTAGGTGCTGGGGATATGGTTACCACCAAGAAAGATACAGTGCCTCCTGGTACTGAGCTTACAATTTAGTGTGGAAAGCAAAAAATAAATAAATATTAGCAAGTGTGATGGGTGTTATGAAAGAGGAAGTATAAGGATGTGATAGGAATATATAGTAAGGAGTTTAACTAAATTTCATATAGGATGCATCTCTGTTACCTGAGCAACTGCCTCATCACTCATGCACTCTGGCAGGTAAAACAGTCCTTCAAAATTGATGGCTAAATTAGAAGAGGTTAACATTGTGTAATGTTGACAAACCCACTAATTTAATACAAAATTCCATTCCCATCTAGTTTCTCTGAACTGGAATGGTAATATAGGGGAAAGGCAGTTGATAGGTTTTTGGATTTTTTTTCCAAGCCATGACACTGTGGTCAATTGGGAGAATATGTGCACATTCTAAGCTTGAATATTTGAGCATCAATTCAAATAACATCACCCTATTTCAGACTTTCCCAAAAGTGCATCACAATTATATACATGTGTGTATGTATATGGTTTATTTTTACTGTATATGAGACATTATGCTGTGTGTGTTAAATTTATCATCTCAATTAATTTGCCTAAAATAGATGTTAGCTATTATTATTATTGTTCCTATTTTTAGAATAAGGAAACTGAAGCTTAGAGAAATTAAGTTGCTCACGATTATCCAGCTAATAAAGGGTGGAGCTAAGATTTAATTCTGGTATGTTGGATCCTAAAGGCATCATTCTGCTGCTTGGAGGTGAGGAGAAAGGGAACTGGCAAAGTCATCAGAAGATTATATATAAAATGACTTGAGTAGGATTTTCATTAAAATTCCACACATAAAATTTTAAATACCTCTTTCCAAAAATATTTTACATTTTTCAGAATTCTTCTAACTAGTTACTACAATTTTATCTTGGCAACCTTGCAAGCTTCTAAACACTGCATAATTCTAATCTATTTCCCTGAAGATAATTTTTATAATTATTTATGAAGCTTTTTTTTTTTGGTAAAAAGAGACTTTCAGCAGTCGTATTTGTACATTTTAAACAACTTATTCAATATTTAACCCTACAAATAGTTATTTTCACTAAAACCTAATACAGTTTTTTCCAAATTGCATTCTTTGGAAAATTAGTCCTATCAAAAGCTTTACAAATAAAAAGAAATTCCATGATCAATTGTGGGAAATCACATTTTATTTTCTTGAGATTCACAACATACACTAGCATATTTAA